CAGCATCCTCCTCATCCTCCCGCATCCCCCCGCGGGGGCTACCGGGACCCCCCCCCAACCCCGCTCCGAGCCCTGCACTTGTTGCTGCCCCGCAGGGCTGGGCCGGCACCTGATTTAGGGCGGTTTTATTTAAGGGGGGGGGTGGTTTTGGAGGGGGTGGAGGTTGCAGCCTCCCCTGCTGTCCCCCAGCAGCCAGCGGTGTCCGGCTCGGCTCCAGCCTGCTCCCCCTAAGGCCAGAGCCAAGCCTGAGCCCCCCCACTTTTCCCCTCCCCAGTCCCATCTCTGCCCCCCTTCTCCTGCCTCCGCCGACCCCCAGCTCCTCGCCCGGAGGAAGGGTGCGCGTCGCGTGCATCTCCCATCCACCGAAATCTATGATCAGCTCGGTGTGTGTCTCCTCCTACCGCGGACGCAAGTCGGGGAACAAACCACCTTCCAAAACATGCCTGAAGGAAGAGATGGGCAAAGGGGAAGAGTCGGACAAGATCACCATCAACGTAGGTGGTACCCGGCATGAGACCTACAAGAGCACCCTCCGGACTTTGCCGGGCACCCGCCTGGCCTGGCTCGCTGACCCCGATGCCCAGAGCAACTTTGACTTTGATGGGAAAAGCAACGAGTTCTTCTTCGACCGGCACCCCGGGATCTTCTCCTACGTCCTCAACTACTACCGGACGGGCAAACTGCACTGCCCCGCGGATATCTGCGGACCCCTCTTCGAGGAGGAGCTGACCTACTGGGGCATCGATGAGACGGACGTGGAGCCCTGTTGTTGGATGACCTACCGTCAACATCGCGATGCCGAAGAGGCCCTGGACATCTTCGAGAGTCCTGAGCCCGGTGGAGGGGCCGGTGGAGAGGAACCAGAAGAAGAAGGGGGTAGGGAGATGGCCCTTCAACGCCTGGGCATGGATGACAGGCCGCCGGGGGCGGTGGGGGCTGCCGGAGGGGGTGGCTGCTGTCGGAATTGGCAGCCCAAGATGTGGGCGCTCTTTGAGGATCCCTACTCGTCCAAGGCAGCAAGGGTAAGCTCCCGAAAGGCACCGGTGGGGAGGTGGGATGGGGCCATGCTGGGGTTGTGTTCCTCATCTCCCCATCCCCGTGGGTGAGAGGGTATCTCCTGGAGGGTTATGTGGGCCCCCACCATAACCACCCCCCTCCTACTCCTCCCATGGGGCACGTTGGCCATCTCCCATCCTACGGGAAGTCTCTTCCATCATCTCCCCATCTTCGCCCAGTGCATCTCCCCCCATCCTACGGGAAGTCTCTTCCATCATCTTCCCATCTTCTCTCCTTCTCTGGAGACCACCTGGACAAGATCCTGTGCAACCTGCTCTGGGTAGACCCACTCCGGTGGGGGGGTTGGACTTGACGATCTCCAGAGGTCCCTTCCAACCCCGTATGATTCTATGATTCTGTGATCATGTCTGGGGGAGCTGGGCTGAACCTGGGGGCAAGCCCATTCCTTGCCCCCTTCTCACCTTTGGGTGCTCCAGGGCACCTCCTGGGAACAAGGATGATGAGGGATTGTCAGGGAGAGAGTCCTTGGCAGGGCTGAGCCCTGGCAGAGCTTCAGGATGCTCTAGGACAGGCTTGGGTTCCTCTTGTTGGGTGGTGTGCGTGCCCACACCAACCCCCCACATTTAATGGCCCAGGTGTGGAGCGGAGTGGGGTGGGGAGGAGAGGGGCTGGTACCCAAATCAGGCCCTGAAGTAAACGAGGCCTTCGTGGTTGTCCCCAAGGAGCTTGGGTTCCTCTTGTTGGGTGGTGTGCGTGCCCACACCAACCCCCCACATTTAATGGCCCAGGTGTGGAGTGGAGTGGGGTGGGGAGGAGAGGGGCTGGCACCCAAATCAGGCTCCTGAAGTAAACGAGACCTTCATGGTTGTCCCCAAGGAGCTTGGGTTCCTCTTTTTGGGTGGTGTGTGTGCCCACACCAAACCCCCACATTTAATGGCCTAGGTGTGGAGTGGGGTGGGGAGGAGAGGGGCTGGCACCCAAATCAGGCCCTGAAGTAAACGAGACCTTCGTGGTTGTCCCCAAGGAGCTTGGGTTCCTCTTTTTGGGTGGTGTGCTTGCCCACATCAAATCCCCACATTTAATGGCCCAGGTGTGGAGTGGGGTGGGGAGGAGAGGGGCTGGCACCCAAATCAGGCCCTGAAGTAAACGAGACCTTCGTGGTTGTCCCCAAGGAGCTTGGGTTCCTCTTTTTGGGTGGTGTGCTTGCCCACACCAACCCCCCACATTTAATGGCCCAGGTGTGGAGTGGGGTGGGGGGAGAGGGGCTGGCACCCAAATCAGGCCCCTGAAGTAAACGAGACCCTCATGGTTGTCCCCAAGGAGCTTGGGTTCCTCTTTTTGGGTGGTGTGCGTGCCCACACCAACACCCCACATTTAATGGCCCAGGTGTGGAGTGGGGTGGGGGGAGAGGGGCTGGCACCCAAATCAGGCCCTGAAGTAAACGAGACCCTCATGGTTGTCCCCAAGGAGCTTGGGTTCCTCTTCTAGAGCAACGGCGGCCCCAGAGGGACACCCCGTGTGCCTGGGCCCCTTTCCCTGTGCCCTGTGGGTGCCCCCCATCCCCACGTCCCTGTCCCCCCCACCACCACCACCGTCGCCGCGTCGATGCTGCCCACGCGCAGCATACGGTCCCCGTCAGCACGTGCCAGCGCAGGCTCTCAGCTGCGGCAAACACACCAGCCCCCTTCATCCACACACCATCCCCGGGGACACACCGTGTACAAACACACACACGAGCACATCCACGTGCTCACATCCC